CTGACCACAGATTGTCTAATAAAGAAGTTGGACAACAAGTGCTTCAGACCCTTTGTTATTAAAACAAAGGTTAGTACCTCTACCTATAAACTCTAACTTCTAACAACATAGAAGTGTATACACTCAGTATTTAACAAGGTTCTGTTGTCTCAGTATTATGATCCAGGTTTTCCTTCACAACAAAGACCCCTACTACCTCTACCAGAACTTATCAGTTCTGAACCAGAATACAAAGTAGAGTATATAGTAGATACTAAGCTAGTATACAGAAAGCTCAAGTTCCTTATTCACTAGAAAGGATACTTAGTTGAAGAACACACTTGGGAACCTGCTAAGAATCTCACCCATACTACTAAGACAATCCAAGACTTCTATCAACTTTATCTAGGTGCTCTACACTAACTCTGTCTTACAGATTTCTAAACCCTACTGTTCTGTCCTATGTTTGAGCTATTGACTGAGTCTAATGTTTACCAATCAGAATGATTGGTTTTAGAGAGAGGGTGATGTTACAGTTCTCTACTCTTACACCTTCAGTTCTAAGAGTTCTACACCCTTTTATACTAGAACTTAGAACTTCTGTCCCTTAGAGGTACTGTCTATAAACTACATACATACTGACTCTTACTACTACCCCTCCTTACTTTATCATTCTGTTCCTTTGACCACCCTTTCATTCCTTGTTCATTCTATAGTCTCTTACCCTTTGTCTATCCCTTCATTCTTTGTACCTTTATCTTTGACCTTCCTTTCTTTCATTCTTTGTAGCTTATCATTCTTAGTAGCTCATACTCCCTAAGTACTCTTATGTAGTTTAGTATATATAGGTGTACAAGATCAGACTGGTCTAGTAGTCTTAATCTTGTCTACTCTAGGTAGTCCTGTACTCTTAGGCTCACTCTATATACTCTACTCTTGTCTCACTCTCTCTCTCTCCACCTGTTCTGTAAGTTCTGACTATGTTCTAGTACTTACATTCTATATTTCTGTTATGTAGGATAGTTATAGCCTGGGTCCCCTTACTGAGCCTTTAGGTCCCCTCTATACTGTTGCTGACAAATACAAACATACAAATAATGTTATAGTTTGTAAAGTCAAAGGACACATTAAACAATAATGAACACAATACACACATATATTAATATCTAATACATTTATTATAAAATGGCAAAACAATACAAATGTACTATATGTTTAAAACATAAATAATGTGCCTAAACAGACTTACAGACAGTCAGATGATAAGACAAAACAAATTACAACAAGTAAAACCTTAATTAACCTTAATATGAAGTAATCTAACATATTATAAATAATATTACAAATTGTAAACAATACAATACTTTAATATAAAGGTATATAACTACTATTAAATGCTTAAAAGGTATGAATACAAAACAAATGCAAACAAAGATAATACATGATGAATAGAGGACATTATAATAACATTGACAGCATATTTTACAAGCATGATTCAACAGTTTTATTACAAAAGTAAAAGTGGAAAAACTACTAGTAACACAATTCAAATGTGCAAAAATACAAATTAACAATAAACAAATTAATAACACACACATTGTTATTAAATATAGTATTAACTATACAAACAAAACAATACAAACAAATTACAATTCTAACTACACTTTGAGTGTAAGAATATGAAATGACCTATATGTATAATAATACAAATACAAACAGAACAAATAACAGAACAACTGTAGAACAACACAGTATGATAAAATAAACATACTATAATACAAAATGAACAATATGACATGAAAAACAAACAAAACAAAGTTATATCATATTATATTATATTACAGACAAGAAAAACTACTATCATACAAATGATAAAACATTATAGTGACAACTATAACAGTAATAATAATAAAACTACAAACAAACAAATGCTAAAGAGATCCTACAGCTCTCTTAGCAATCATAATTGAACTAACAATCAATTTATTACATTAAACATAATAATAATATATGAGACAAACATAACACTTATAGTGGACTTAATATATGAAGCTAACAAAACATTTACATTGCAAATGTAAATGATATTAGTAAAAACAACAGATGAACACTTATCAAACATTATATTAGCCTGATCAACTAGTATAAGTTTGAAGGGGAGTGTTAACATTTATTTCAGATAAATGTGTCATATGTCTTAAAGTATACAAACATCTTACAAATATATGCTATTATAGAGACATGTCTTCCAAGACATATATCTGAGACATTTGATAGTACATAGTATATAATACATGAATCTACAGACAATGAAGCTCATATATAACATAACATTCAAACCACACAGTCAACTTGTATCAACACCTACACACTATGAGCAGAGTCCACTGAACCCCTACTTGTGTGACTAACTCTTAGTAACCTTGCAACCTCAAAATGCTAACATTTTGTTTAGAATGTAATTCATATTATACACTGATTGAAACTATGTTTCACATATCTAATACATTTATATGTATTATAATACACTAACAACAGCTGTGTTTAGTTGACATGACAAAATTATACTTGTATATTACTAACATTAACTGGTAAGTCTTGTATTTTCAATGTATTATTAAACATTACTAATAATTGTCTGACAGAGACATTACAAATCTTGTACTACATTATACTGTTTACAAGTTCATACATGTATTTAGCCTTTTTTACAATGACTCTAGAGTTGTGAGCATTCAGCTAAATAGTCTCCACTCCAGATTAAGTACCTGCTAGTCTCAATTACAGGCTAGTATCCAGAAAGTACAGTTAGGCCAGATTGCAAGTGATCACCTAAGCAAAATCTAATATCTTTCTCTTCTTACAGTAATAGACACTAGACCCTAGACAGATTGAAGTATGAGTAAACATTGATACAGTTTATGAAACTCAGACACAGAAGAAAGTATGAGATTTAAAACTCATGTACCAAAGATTACTAGTTGCTAATAATCTATTGTTATCCAAAGAACTATTTGCTAACAAATGTTTAATTTTATCTTACAGTTAATCTTCTAGGTATAGTTACTGTTATCTGGTCCAGACCTGGACTGGACCTCTGGTCTGGTCTGATTAAGGTCTGGTCCAGTTGGGTCTAACAGGGGTCCAGTCTGTAGTCCAGTGTTTGACAAAAATTTCCAGACTGCTTTAGACTGCCTAGACCCTGGACCAGACTGTAGACTGTTTATATTATAAATACTACTTCTTTAAAGCATACAAATGGACTGTACAGAGCCTAATAGATGTGAACTACTCTTACATATATTGTATAGTGTATTGTATACCCTTTAAGTATACAAATAGACTATACTGTGTCTTACAGATGTAAACAGCAGTTTATATTGACTGTAGGAACTGATTTCTATTACACTAGTACTTCTTATGTTTTACACTTAGTATAATACAAATAATAAAAGTAATTGTATTCTGATACATATAAGCTTACATATATTCAGAAACATATTATTATAGTACTTAATAGTATATCTATCTTATATAATATGTTAATAAGACAGAATTATTTTAATATATATTATATAATTGGTCCAGAGGTCTGGACTGGGTTCAGACCTGGACTGGACTGCTGGACTGATCTACAAGAGGTCCAGCTGGGTCTGGTCCAAGGTCCAGGATTTCATAAGAAATCAGTCCTGGTCTGGTTCACAGTCCAGCAAAAACCTGTCTGGACCAGACCTGGACTAGACTATAGTAACTATACTTACTACTAAAGTTCTAGGGTTGCCTGAAGTCTTGTCAACATAATAAAGGAGTGTATATAGTAATCTATTAGCACCTATCTGTTTGACTTGACTTACATATATTAAATGTGTGCAACACAGTTATTGTACTTTCATGTGCCATTTCATTACTATAAGTAATTTTTTACTATAGTACTGAGTTGCTATTTTTTAATAGTATTCAAATTTCATACTGACACAGTTTACAATTTCTTTAAGCTCCTGTCTGTAGTATTGTCAATGTTAAATAGCTAGGCCCTTCAGGCATGTTAACAGTCTATTGAGATACACACTAGATGCACAGTGTTCAATTCTTGGATTCTGATTAGTGTACCAATTGTTACTCATGACAAGCTTTGAGTCAACTCTTAACTTTTTGCATCCAGGCCCTGAATCCCACGGCCCAATTAGGGACGACCCTGACCAACCACTTACATAATTCTTGCAGATGGTGGCCCTTATCATAAACAGAGTGAGAAGTTAGGAGGGGGGGCTTGGGGGGGGGGGCGAGGAGCCACCCTAATTAGGTTTAGGGTAAGTTTGGGCTGTTAGGTTGGGTGTTAAGTTGGGTGTTAGTTGGG